GGGTTCTAGGAGACAGGAGCTGGTTACATGAGTGGTGTACATACAAGGGCAGCTGTGTATTAGGCTAGAAAGTAAAAGACAGGAGGGGATTGCATTGTGGAGGCTGTTTCTCTTTTTCTTTTTTCTTTTTTCTTTTCTCTTCTTTCAAACAACTACTGATTATAGATTTATAGGGGGTCCAAAGCAGCCCACCATCTTTGCCATAAACTTCCCAGAATGAAAACTCATTGAGGTTCTCTTGAAAGGGGATGAAAAGTAAATATCGGGTTAGGTACAAACACACAAAGCAGGGCCAGGGAAAGAAGGCAGCTAGTTCCTTATAGCTGGATGAAGTCCTTCAGCATTTGTGTACACACAAACACACACATGTGCTTGCATGCATGAACATACACATGCACATATCATACCCAAATATTCTAACAAATATGGTCATGTTTATAGACCTATCCCAGTCCTTGGTGAATATTTCCACTCAAATTCAATATCATATGTCCATATAAGCAGCACACACGACTTTCAATGTGGTGCTTTATGAGTATAATACACCCAGCCTCTCCCCTTTTCCAACTCCTGATTACAGGATGGGGCACAGTAAAGGTGAATGAGAGAATGTGTGACTATAAGCTTGCATGTGACATGAAGTGTCTCTCTAACTACAGGCCACAAAGCAAATAGAAATTGTTTTTTCATCATTCACTGTTTGGAACTATCCACTGTCTTTCAATTATCTCTATGCCATCAAGTTTCAGTGATCACATATCTCTTTTTGAGCTGCTACTCAGTGCAGAGTATAGGTCAGGGACTAGTGGTATGAGGTTTCCTCCAACTTGGTGTAAATCCTAGCTACACTACTCACTTTCCAGAAATTGCTTCATTGCACTTTGCATTTCTCTCAGCGTTACTTTAAAATTAAAAAAAAAATGAGCATAATGGGACTCAACTCATTTAACTTTTGTATTAAATAGGTGATTATGTAAAGTGCTTGGAACAAAGTATAGGGCATAGTAGTCAGGAAATGATAGCCATATTTTCATCATCACGTTGTGGGTATTGGATATGTAAAGAAGTAATACATAAAAGAGATTTTCTTTTCCCTGTGAGGTTTTTAAATCTCATCAATGAGACAAGATAAACACATGGAGAGGAGCATATGAAAACCTAATACTTTTATTTGAGCCATAACATGTAACTTATTATCCAAAATCCAAGCTCTGTTTTACAATTTTTAGCAGATTTCAATGCTCTAATAAGATTGATTTTTTTTCTTTTATTATTCCCATGCTATACCACCTTACATAAACTACACAGTTACACCAGTCTTTCATTTAAGACGTTGACTGGAGAGACACCTTAGAGGCTCAGTCGGTTGAGGGTCCAACTTAGGCTCAGGTCATGATCTCACAGTCTGTGTGTTTGAGCCCCACATCAGGCTCTGTGCTGACACCTCAGAGCCTGCAGACTATTTCAGATTCTGTGTCTTCTCCTCTCTCTCTGCCCCTGCCCTGCTCATGCTCTGTCTCTCTTGATCTCAAAAATAAAACATAAACAAAATTTAAAAAAAAGTTGACCGGAGAATTCTTGGGATAAAAAAGATTTTGAGAATTCATTTTGTACACGTCCCTATTTCTGGGAAGGAGATCATCTGAGACATCCCAAACCCAAGTGAGACAGCTATGTGCATGGCCAGAGAGCCTACTCCCTCCCATCTTCCCTGGTCACCCTGTAACCTCAGAAATTCTTCCTTATGTCCAATGTCAATCTGTTTTCCTTAAAATATTGGCCTCTCTTTATAACTGATTCTGATTGGGAATGAGGTACACAAACTCTCAAAAGCTTAAGACAATTCTGAAATGCACACCTGGGAACATTGTTGCATTGCCTATTGGTCTGGGTCTCTGTAATTATAGTTCTCATATAGTTTGTTATTAACTGGTTACAAATCATCAAAAGATCCCTTAAAATCTTTAATTTAGTCCCTACCAGAGCATAACCCCTCATGGAGTCATTCATTGGTACTCTCTTAAAGTTTTAATAGAAGTACACTAATTACCAGATAGTTAACTCCTATTTCAATCCTCCAACCTCCATGGCCTCCTCAATTATAGTCATTAAGTTATCACTCATTTGATGAAGGCATAGTACAACCCTGAGGTGGATCATGACTACTATGATCTCCCCAGTCCTTTTCAGGCCATCATATGAAGTAGGGGAAACAGAATTGACAGCGGTCCTGACCCACCAATTCTTGCCTCAGAGGAGCCCTGAGGGCCAGGCATATTCCAGAATGGGCACAGCAGGCATTTTTCTCAAAGTGGGCAGAGTGCCAAACCCTGGCACAATGATTAGTGTGGAAGGCCTGGGGACAGGAAGGCAGCCAAGGCCCACACTTTTCCTTCTTCCCCAAATTCAATTTTCTCAGTCTAGGTCCCTCCTCTTGTGCTCCCAATTCCAAAGTTTTCAGACCTTCCATAGTGCTCATCTGAGACCAGACATCTGTCATCAATCATCTAAGGCCAGTGCTTCTCAAACCTGAAAGAGCATAGACATCATCTGGGAGCCTGTTAAAAATGCAGATTCTGATTCAGTAGGTCTGGGTTGGGTCTGAGATTCTGCATTTATAACAAGCTCCCAGGTGACACACACATTATTTGTCCATGGACCACATTTTGAAGACCAGGATCTACATGACTGTAGCAGTTGCTACAACTATCTTCCACAAAGAGTTTATCCACTTCCGTCTGTCTTTTGTCCTCCAGATGGCAATAAGAATCATGCCTGATCCCTTCCTGATTAATCTCACTCCATGACACAATACACAGTGTAAACCTGGCTCATAAATTCCCAAGTGTGGAAACACACATCCCTCACAAGAGTCTTATTCTTTCATGTCTTAAAGGTCCGTGTAGCTCAGAATACTGTCCCATTTCTTTTATAACTTACTTATCCCTGTTTCCCAAATTCCTCCATGTGCATCCTCTTGACCAATACATCTTTTTCAGTTTCTACTTGTACTTTCCCTTCCAAAGTAAAGATGCCTCACTACCTATCTAATCACTAATGCCTCATATTTCAGTTTGTTCTTCTCCCCAGTTTGAGGTGTACAATCTCTCTCCCCAAAGCATCTTAGATTCTCTCATGAGATTTTTGCACCAGTCTCTCAAAAAAAGATCTAAAGCATTTAGTAAGTATATGAGTAATCCTGCCTCTAGCAGGCAGTCATCTACTCCCTGTTGGGAAGATGAGAAATTCTACAAGAAAGTAGCTTTCTATCCCTCCTGACCAGAGCAGGCCCCATACATAAATACAATAGAAAGCCACTGGCCCTTCTATGCCAACTGTAAAACTGCTTCAAGAAAGATGCCTTTTGTGCCCATGGCAGAACCAGTCTCATCTTCAGGGAGTCCTTGGAGTCAGGTAGAACTGGCTGAGACTTCTATTAGTTTTACATCCCCTCCCCACATCCCATGGGAATGAATGGAGCAGGACCGGGCAGAGTTATGTCAAGCATTCTCCTGCCCCAGGACTGTATTTTCTCTGTTCCTCTTTGAATCAACAATCTTGTTCTTCACTATTGGGTCTACAGGAAGGGAAAAACCTACTCCTTTCCCTGAGCAAGATTCTACTCTGATGGAACAGACAGGACAGTCATGAGAACTCAGACATAGTCACACAAAGGCAAAACTAGACATGCCTGGGTACAGTTCTAGATACTGTTTTAAAGTTCAGCATGGAGAGAAATACTTTGTTAAGGAAGTCTTTCTGAAGATAAAGGAGTAGCACAGTGCTAGCCTGAAAGGAAGGAGAATTTTCTGTACCAAGGAAATGTGTAAGACTCGATTCAATTTAACATGAATTTATTAATGCTGCTTATGTGCCTGGTCCCAGCTGGATGCTCTGGGGGTGTGAACAAGAAACACTCCTTACCTGTCATCTAAAATCAGGAACAATATACAGAAAACAAAGATACACAGATACCTGTGGTATTTCTTTTTTTTTTAATTTCTGCTTTATTGATTTATAACTGATATATAAAATTGTTAGGTATTTAACATGTACATTGTGGTGTTGATTTGATAACATAAACATTATGCAATTATTCACTATGATTTCTCCATTGTGAAAGGATTAGTGATGGTATTTTAACCTGATTATTTCATTAAATGAAGGTAAGTGTTCAAAGGGTACCTTGGTTTCTCTCACTTCATCTTTATATGTGGAGGGGCTTCAGCTGGAGCTTTGGTTTTCTGTGCGTGGTCCCTGGACCAGCAGTATCAACAACACCTGGGAACTCCTTAGAAGTACAAGTTCTGGGTCCCACCTAGACCTACTGAATTCCAAAAGCTGGAGGCTGGGCCCAGCAATCTGTGTTTCCACAAGCCCTCCAGGTGAGGTGACGCCCACTGAAGTTTGAGCACCACTAAGCAAAGGACTATTCCTTGCCTTTCTCCACCCCCTTCACTGTGACTTTAGTGAGTTAAAGAGACAGCACTGAGCATTCCCAGCTCAGTCCCTTTCACTTTTTTTCTTGGGTTTCTTCTTTTATCCAAAACCAAATTAGCTACAGGACACATGATATATCTAATAAGGGGTTAATATCTAAAATATATAAAGAACTTACACAACTCAAAACCAAAAGGCCAAATAATCCATTAAAAAGTAGACAGAGAACCTAAATAAATATTTTCCAAGGAAGAGATACTAGATGACAAACAGACACATGAAAATGCTCAGCATCACAAATCATCAGGGAGTATAAATTAGAACTACAATGAGATATCAATTTACACCTGTCAGAATGGCTAAAATAAAAATAAACAAGAAATAACATGTGTTAATGTGGATGTGGAGAAAAAGGAACCCTCATGTACTGTTGGTGGGAATGTAAATTGTTGCTGTCATTATGGAAATCAGTATGGAAATTCCTCAGAAAATTAAATGTAGAACTACCATATGATCCAGTATTTCTGCTATTGGATATTTACCCAAAGAAAACAAAAACATTTTTTCTAGTTTCTTTTAATAATAACTTGTTTAAAGTCAGTATGCAGTACAGACACAATTGAAAAGTACACAAGTAAAAAAAAAAGAAAAAAATAGGAGGAGAAGACACATTCTTCACTACACAATACACACAGAGCTCTTTCCCCTACCACCATTCCATGGAGGCCCAGCTTTCCATGTGCTCAAGAGTACTCTCCATATTATGCAGGGGGACCTGACTGCACTCACGTGTGATGATGCCAAGCCAAATCTGTACTGGCACTAATGAGTTCAAGGTGTACACTTCTGACCTTAATTGAAGTGGGATTAATTGACCAGGCTGTGCTGGATCCCATAGCTGAAGTAGATAGCAAACCCAATAAGCATCCAGACACCAAACAGGGCCCAGGTGTCAGCTGTCATCTGCATCATAAGGCAAACATTCACAAAGATGGTCAGTAGTGGGAGGAGAGGCAGAGCAGGGACCTTAAAGGGAAGGTGACTGGAGCTCTGTGGCTGTCTCCAGATGACCCCAGTGATCCCAATGATGAGCACCAGGAGCACCACAACCACTGAAATCCACACTGGGTCTCCAGAAAGCAGAACTGGCCCCTGGGTCAGCACCAGGCAAAGAAGAGTGAGCAGCAGAACAAGCAGTGAGGAGCAAACATAGACAACCTGGCCAGAGAGTGGAGTGGGGGTGGAGCTGCCTGGATAAAATAGTCCCTGTAGAGTCAGCTGCTCTGCTGCAGGTCTAGTCTCCTCCTGCCCCTCTGCTTCATTTCCTCCAGTCCTCCTCTGAGGCTGATACCTGATGATGAGAACACAAGTAGCCAGCAAAGAGTAAGCTAGCAGGGCCCCAACTGACATGAGGTCCACAAGATCAGTGAGTCTAAAGAAGAAGGCCATGATGGCTGCAATAATGCTCAAGATCACAGTGGCCACGATGGGGGTGTCTGTGCCAGTTTGGATCCTGGCAAGGACAGGGAACAGGAGCCCATCCTGTGTCATCATGTATATCAGATTACGTATGGGGAACATAAAGCCAAAGATGCTGATGGAAAGACTACAGAGGAATCCAAATGTTACAACATAGCAGGCATGGGCCCAGCCAACATGGAGAAATGCCTCAGGCAAGGTGCTCCCAGGTTGGAGCTGGTAGTAAGGCACCATAAGTGTAAGTGCTGAAGAGACACCAAAATACATCAAAAAGCAGATAAACAGTGAAATAACAATGCCCATGGGGACAGAATACTGGGGATTTCGGGCTTCTTCGACTCTGGTAACAATAATAGTGAAACCTATAAATGCATAGAAACAGGTAGCTGCTCCACGGAGAATCCCCTTGAAGCCAAAAGGCACAAATCCTCCATAGCCCAGAGGGCCTAAGCTTGAGGTGTCATTGAGTCCAGCCTTTACGTAGTCCTCTTCTGTGAGCTTCCAGTTGTGCAGGTCCCCCTTAATGAAGCCAGCAATGATGACAAAAGTGAGGGTCAAAAGTTTCACCAATATGACCACTTTGGAAACCAGGAAAATCCAACTACTCCTCAGAATCAACAATTCCATGAGCAACAACACAAGGCCCACAACAATGAATCCTAGAATTTCTCCAAGGACCTGGGGAACATTTGGTGAGATGCTCTCATGCAGGGTCTGAGATATCTGGTTCCCAAGCAGATTGTCGAAAGCTAAGGTCCAAGCCTGGGCCATAGTGGCTGTATGAGCAACAAAGAAGATGATGAGGTTCCAGCCAGTGATGAAAGCCCATAGTTCACCTAGAGTGACATAGCTGTAGAGATATGAAGAGCCAGAATAGGAAACCTGGACACCAAACTCTGCATAGCACAGCCCAGACAACACAGAAGATAGGCCGGCCACCAACAAGCAGATCACGATGGATGGTCCTGCTTTATCTCTAGCCACCTCACCAGCCAGGATATATATACCTACACCCACTGTGCAGCTCACACCCAGGGCCACTAAATCTAGGGTGGTCAGCCTTCTGTCAGGGCCCATATCGGCCGCATATTCCTCCAGCATATGTCTGCGTACCAGCTTTTGACCAAATCTGCGAAGTGCCAGACACAGCATTCTAGCTGGAATTGAAGAGGATTCTGGGATCAGAGAGCTGTAGCAAGTTCAGGTGCCATGAGTCTGGAATCAGGTTTGGTGAGGCTGAGTTAAACTGAGTTGGGTTGGGGCTGCCAGGTTCCATTGCTCAGGCTTCACAGCTACTGCTTCATATTTTTTCTTCTATGTGCTATCCCTCCTTAAAGCCTGGAAAAACAATAAATATTTACTGAACAAAGGTGTTCAACCAACCGACCAAAGCTCAGAAATCCCATGTCACTTGTTGCAGCCCAAATATCACAGAAACTGACACAAAAGACATCATAGAAAAAAATCAACCCTGCTTTCTCCTCCCAGAGAAAAGGGTTGAATACCTCCCAACATTCTCCCTTTTTACACACCACATGATATATTCCCATTTGGGTTCCCCTAACTGATGTAGCTTCATGTACTAATTAAGCTGTAAGACACAAGAAGGAATGCATATAATGTGCAATAATCCACACGTGGGATGTTTGCATCGTGCTTGAGTTTGAGTTATGACACATTAATTATAGACTAGTGGACCTTGTTGCAATTACAGAACAATTTTTAAAAATATCATCTGAATTTAAAATACAAATTTGGCCTCCTGGTCTTTAAACTCTTAGCCCCGAAATCAGCTAGCAAGTTTGGATGTCACTTTGGTTCCCTTTCTCCTCATTCTGCATCAACTGTTTAGTTGTACTGATGGCAAAGAAAGTACAGTCCAACCCTTCCCTTTATACACTGAGGCCCACAGGACACTGCAAAAAGGGAGGAAGAGGGAGAAAGAGGCAAGGCCTTTATAACTACCTGCAAGAAGAAGAAGAACAGGCTGTCTGATAAGAAAACACTGAAGAAATATGTGCAGCATTCAACCAAGGGTCCATTACTAAGAAGGGAGAAGAGCCAGAACAGCCTCTGTGTGTGTGTGTGTGTGTGTGTGTGTGTGTGTGTGTGTGTGTGCATGCATTCTGACCTTAAATAAACTTTACCCATAGCAACCAGGCAAAAGTTCACTATGGTTGTATGTCTACAATTGTGAAAGTGTGATGTGTAGAGAGGAAAGAAGTAGCTCACAATCAAAACAATTCCTTCTGTCTCCTCCTCTCTGACTTCTAGGAGAGAAGATCAACTCACTTCTGCAGACAGTCTCCTCACTGGCTACCCTGTGCTCAATAAACACCCTGCACCATCTGTGATGTCAGCTTCCAGCAGCCTGGAGACCAGGAGAGCAGCAAGCTGCCCTGCTTTATGAGCTTGTATTAAAATACTCACTTGGAACTCCATACTAATTTTTCACAAAGAGTTATTTTTAACTCATTCATACCATGGTCTGAATATAACAAATATACATTCTTAATGAATGAACCCTGCATGTGGTTCTTCTTTTCCCCTACTCCCTTGCTGCTGTTAAAATGATCAGCTCCACAAGGAAAACAAAGCTTTGGATGAACAATTGACAACAATGTCCTGAAAAAGGCTCTGGAGAACAGAGGGAAAAAAGTCACATAGCCCACGCTCTCCTCCATATTCGGGCTTTAGTTTTGAAAGAATTTTAAGGAATGTCAGAGGCTTCTAAAGAGAGAAAGGTCAAGTTAAAATTGAAAAGTCTTCTCTGTAGATGATCAAAAGGAACCCTTGGGTTACAGTTCTGACCTTCTGTTTACAAATCCATCTAGACTCCTTATTTGCCACCCACCAGTTCCAATGTTATGATTTACTAACCAGCATGCAAGATAGATAAGAAGAATAACTTCTTAATTCGTGGAATATTTTCTGCTCTATGAATGTAATTGATGTACCCACCCCCCGCCCCCACCAACGCCAGGCTTCAGACCCTTCACTGATGCCCCACTGCCCTTCCTTCCTAGTCCTTCCTTCCCTTCATCATCTGACCCGTGATTATTTCTCTAGCCTTATTCCTTGGTGCTAAATACTTGTGGGGCCTAGGGTTACTGAGTTAGACCACACATTGAAAATGCAAGGCTCATATACAATAACAACAACAATCGCAACTACAACAACAACAATGACAATAGTATCTTTACCTGCAGATGTCTCATCTTATTTCTGGAAGAGGTAGTGATGGGTACTACAGTGGTGTGAGCAATAAACATTATGTCAGAAATTTTGGATTTGAGCCCTGGTTCTTCTGCTTGACTACATAAACTAGGGTAATTTGCTTAATCTCTCTAAACCTCAGTTTCCGCATCTACAAGGAAACTTACTTGACTTCTCTTACTGAACCAATGTGAGAATTGGATGAGAAGATACAAACTATCACACACTCCTGGTGGGAGAGTAACTGGGGTCACCATTCTGAAGCACAGTCTTAGTGGAATTAAGAATGCACACACCCTCTCACCCCACAATCCCTCTACAAGGTGAACACTCCAAGGAAACTCCTGAATTCATAAGGAGGCCCTTATGAGCATATTCATCACAGGACTATTTGTGGTAGCAGGAAGTTGGAAGCTATGCCAGAGTCTGTTACTAGAGGGATATAGAAATAAAATGTGTCACATATGCACAATTAAATACTGCACAGCACTCAGAATAATAAAGTAGATTTACAGGAAGAAACATGGGTAGATCTAAGAAACAATGTTAAGTGGGAAAAGTAAAAGAACGATGAAGTGTATAGCACAATGCCATTTATGTTCATTTTAAAACCTGCCAAAATGAGTATATTTGTCAAGGATATACATATATCTATTAAGAATGTCAGATCATTTGCTCAAAACATTCCACTGGTTTCCTTTTTACTCAGGATTTGAGCCAAAGTCTGCATTTACAATGGCCTACAAAGTACCACAGTATTTATCACTGACCCAGCTACCTCTCAGCCTCTGTTTCTTTCTCTTCCCATTCATTTTTCTGTAGTCACTGGCCTCCTAACCATTCTGGTCTCCTAACCCTGCCTCAGAGGAAACCTAATGAGGCTGTTAAATAATTATTTTCAAGTTCTCAGAGTTTCAGAGAAATGGAATTTAAATGAACCATCTCCGGGGATTATATCAATCCCTCTGTATCCAAGCACAGCTCCTTCCTGTTCCCAAAGTATATAAATTCTCTCGGCCTTCTTCAATATCAATACAATGAAAACTCTGGAGCCAATGGCACCCCAACAAGTATAAAGTTTTTTGGATAGTTGAGCTTCCCCAGAGTTTCCAAACTTCTAACTCAGCAGACCTGGAATGAAGTAGGGGGCAGTCAGGAATACAAGTGTAGAAGCTCTGAGTTCAGAGTGGGAGCTTTAAATAATAGTGAGTGTGGTGCATGTGTACACCATCACTTCCACAGCGGAAACAGGTCAGAATACATATGAAAAGGTAAACAGGACAAAACTACTATGACACTGGGTCTGAGTCTCATATCCAAAGGTAGAAGAAATTAGTTAACAAATCCGAATGAAAAATGGAATCTTCCCATTTTCTCTTTCTGTTTGTGCCTTCTCTAGAAGTTTGTGTTCAATCATAGTCCTTCTTTTATTCATTCAACAAATATACTGATCCCATTTATTGAGCAATGTACATAAAGCGAAGGAAAACACAAATATCCCTCCATTCATGTTGCATATATCTTGCAGTAGGAAGCAAACAATAAACAAATAAGTAATATGAATATAGATTGTGTTGGATTTGCAATCAGTGCTGTAGAGAAAAGGGAAGCAAGAAAAGGTTAGGATGTACTCAGAGGGGGTGTTGTGATTATAAAATGGGGATCCAAGACAGCTTCACCTTCACACTGTTGTGCAACCATCATCACCATCAGGTCTAGAACTCGTTCAACTTCCTCAGGTCAAACTCTGCACCCATTTAACAGTAACTCCCCATTCTCCCCTCTGAGCAGACCCTGCACACCACCATTCTACTTTTTGTCTCTATAAACTTGACTAGGCTAGGTACCTCATATAAGTAGAATTATACTATACTGTCCTTTTGTTTCCTGGGTTACCTTTAAGCCTTCAAATATGTATAATTAAAATGGAACTAGGATATTGGAGAAGGCTGCTCTTCCTCCTCTCCTCAAGTAGCAAAGTGACAGTGAAAGTCTTAAATATTCATTCATTCAATAAGTATTAAGCACCTTCTATTTTTTAAGAGTTTTGAGAGAGAGAGAGAGAGAGAGAGAGAGAGAGAGAGAGAGAGAGAACACAAGAGCAAGCTCATGAGAGCGAGTGGGGGAGGGCAGAGAGAATCCCAAGCAGGCTCCATGCTGTTAGCACAGAGCCTGAGGCAGGGCTCAAACTCACAAACCATGAGTTCATGACCTGAGTCAAAACCAAGAGTTGATGCTTACCTGACTGAGTGACCCAGACACTGCCCCAAACACCTTCTAAAAGCCAGTCCTAGTGCTTGGTGCTACAAAAAACAATGGTGAGGAAAAAGACATGTTTTCCCTTCTTACATGGCACTCATTGTCTTTCACAATGTTCTTTTGTCATATTCCTGCCCAAAATGTGTAACCTGAATCTAATGATAAAAGTGATCAGTCTATAGGGGCACCTGGGTGGCTCAATTAGTTAAGCATCCCACTTTTGATTTTGACTCAGATCATTGCCTCATGATTTGTGACATTGAGCCCTACGTCAGGCTCTGCTGCTTATAGCGGGGAGCCTGCTTGGGATTCTAACTCCCCCCTCTCTCTGCCCCTCCCCCACTCATACTCTCCCTCTCTCTCTATGTCTGTCTGTCAATAAATAAAAAATATAAAAAAAAAGATCAGTCTACAGAACAAATTTCTACAGGAAGTTGACTTTCTAGAAAACAAATGACCTGTGCTGTTTAAAACTGTCAGTGTCAGGAATGACAGTCTGAGGAACTGTTGCAGATTAAAGGAGAATAAAGAGACATGACAATGAAATGTAGTGTAGATCACTAAACTGCATTTGGATCAGGGAGAAACATTTTAGTATAAAAAATTGGACAATTAGTAAATGTTGAATATGGATCATAATTCATACACACACACATACATTGGACAGAGCAAGCAAATGTGGGAAAATATTAATAATTGCTCAATCTTGGTGAAAGCTAAAAGAGTGTTAATTGTACTATCCTTGCAATTTTCTGTAGGTTGTATATTTTTCCAACTAAAAAATGTAGGAGGAAAAGTAGAGTGTTCCACTAATAAATGTTATGGATTCTCCTTCCCTGAATGCCCTTTATAAACAAGCTTGC